GAGGTGCTGACACTGGTGGTGCTAGTTCCGGGGGTGCTGGAGCAGGAGGTGCTGGCGCTGTAGGAGCTGGTACTGAGGAGACAGAAGCTGGAGGCTCGCCTACTACACCTCCCCACCACCACGACACTCGTTTCCAGGCCCTTCGCCGGCTTGAGCGCGAGGAGCAGGAGCAGTTGGTGCGGGAGAGGCAGGAGTTGCAGCGGCTGGACTAGCAGCAGCAGCAGCAATAGCAACCGTCACTTTTGCAGCAGCTGTTCCCTCCAGTGATTGGCCTTCGGGCCCTTGGTCTTCCTTCCTCTCCTCCTGTTCACTCACAGTCTCCTACCGCGTACGGTCCTACGTTTCCTCCTCCGGACTCGACTCCGGCTGTTTTCTCTCCTCCTCAGTCACCGTCGCCTCCTCCTGTTGTCCGGCACGACTGGACCAGTCGTTGTCCTCCACGTGCTCGGCCCTCGTCTTCTCTTGCCGACCTCCGCACCGTCTTGTTTCGTTCTCCTCGTCGTTCTCCGCCTATGTCTGTTCTCCCCTCACCTCCTACGTCGTCTCTCACCATTTCCTCTCACCCTATCACTGACTATTACCGTGCTGCTTGCCCTATTGTCTCTCGTGTTTTCGCCTCTCTTGTCACCGACCCTCGTGCCTCTCCGTCGTCTGTCTTGGCTCTTAGTGCCGCTGTCGCTGACTTTGCTTCCACCCACCGCCTTGACTACGCCACGCGTGTGGTGGCTGCTTCACCTCCCCATCCTTTGACCGTTGGGGGTGAGTCTCCCCTTGGCTGTGACATCCTAGAGGACAGGCAGTTTGAGCCAGAGTTCTTAGCAGCCGCTTCCCCCTCTCTCTGCGCCATGCTGCTTTCCCCTGAGGGAGACCCTGATGCCCTTGACATACTGACACCTCGCACGTACCGTGAGGCAGTGTCAGGGGAGTGGGCCTCTCAGAGGAAAGCGGCCATGGATGCAGAGCTAGCGTCTTGGAGATCCATAGGCACGTACGTCGACGCAGTTCCCCCTCCCAGGGCGAACATTGTCGATGGCATGTGGCTCTTCAAGGTGAAGCGACCGCCTGGTTCACCGCCTGTGTTCAAGGCGCGCTACGTGGCTAGGGGTTTCAGTCAGCGTGAGGGAGTTGAATTCTTCCAGACCTCCACCCCGACCCCGAAGATGACTACTCTTTAGGTGTTACTGCACGTAGCAGCACAGCGAGACTACGAGTTGCACTCCCTTGACTTCTCCACTGCGTTTCTCTAGGGCCGTCTGCACGAGGAGATCTGGCTGTGCCGTCCTCCTGGCTTCACTGACACCTTCCCACCTGGGACCCAGTGGAGCCTGAGGCGGCCAGTCTACGGTCTCCGCCAGTAGCCCCGTGAGTGGCACGACACTTTTCGCTCCACGCTTCGTGACCTTGGGTTTCCTCCTTCCTCTACCGACCCGTCGCTGTTTCTTTGCACTGGTTCCACCCCGTTCTTTATCCTAGTGTACGTCGACGACTTGGTCTTTGCTACAGCAGACAGGGCAGCTCTGACTAAGGTGAAATCCAAACTGCAGAACAGACACAAGTGCACTGACCTCGGTGAACTACAGCGCTACCTTGGCCTGCAGATCACCAGGGACAGAGCCGCTCGCACCATCACACTGACTCGGTCACACATGGTGCAGCAGGTCCTTCGACGGTTCGGGTTTCAGTTCTCCACCGCACATCCCACTCCTCTTGCCATTGACCACCGACTCACTGGCCCTTTTCCCGACGAGCCCTTTGAGTCTAGTGGCCCCTACGCATAGCTTGTGGGCTGCCTCATGTACCTGATGACTTGTACTTGGCCGGACCTCGCCTTTCTCCTCAGCGTTTTCTCTTCCTTTTTTGCGACTGGGAGACACTGTCCTGTTCGTTGGACAGCTGCTGTGAGGGTGGCGAAGTACCTGGCGACTACATCAGGCACGGGGCTTGTGCTTGGAGGGACACAGCCAGTTGTGTTGACCGGTCACTGCGACTCTTCCTACGCTGACGACGTGGAGACTCAGCGCTCGACTCAGGGTTACTTCTTCAGTCTGGGTGCTGGTGCTGTGTCGAGGAGGTCTACACTGTCGTCGTCTCTGGCTTCGTCCAGTGCAGAGGCAGAGATCTACGCTGGTGCCATGGCGGCACAGGAGCTTCGCTGGTTGACCTTCTTGCTCACCGACCTTGGTGAGCGGCCTTGCTCTGCACCGACCTTGTATGCTGACAACAAGGTCATGATCCTCCTGTGTCGAGAACCTCACCTAGAGAGCAGAGTGAAGCATATTGACGAGAGGTACTTTCTCCTGCGAGAGCTACAGCGACGCGGCCTGGCACGCTTGGACTTTGTGGCCTCAGAGGCCAACACTACTGACGTCTTCACCAAGGCCTTGGCGCCTGGTGACCACCACAGTTTCTGTGTGCAGCTAGGGCTTGTTGAGGTAGGCCCACGGTTGCTTTAGTGTTTCTCTTGTTGCGTGTTCTGCTTGTCAGTGCCTTTATATGTATTGTGCTCTCTTGAACTGGCCTTGTGGTCGCTTGCTTGTGCTCGGAATTTATGTGGTGTCCTTGAGATCTGGTCTTGTGACCGTTTGTTCACCCTGCTTGCTTTGATGCCCCTCACTTAGCCTATGGGGATGTGTCAAATGTTATTATCTGTTATAGGGTATAGTGAGGTGCTCCTTAGTGAGTACAACTCAGTTAGGGTTTCACATTTGTATTGCCTTGCTTTCCTAGTCTCATCATTCCACTACGCATCACTCTTAAGACCCATAGGCAAAGTGGGGGATAGCAAACACAACGGACGGTCACAAGACTAGTCAAGCAAGAGAACAAAGCTAAGCAAAGCTCAGGGTGGATCGCAAGAGCACCACACATTATGAGCACAAGCAAGCGGCCACAAGGCCAGTTCATATGCTGAGTTTATAAAAGCAATTACAGTACACTGATCACAACCTAGCAAGAGCAAAGATGCAGGTATAATCATATATATCAAAGTACAACAAGTGCAAGACAAGATCAAGAGACAAGCAGGTGAGGCAGAGTGGGCACAAGCCCAAGAGCAGTGCAGAAATGCTGATGATCACTAGACCAAAGGGCCTTGGTGAATACATCAGCAGTGTTGGCCTGTGTGGCCACGTAAGGAAGACGAAGCTGACCACGCTACAGCTCTCCCGTGAGGAAGTAATGGAGAGCAATGTGCTTCGTTCTGTGCTCCAGTCTCTGATCCTGACACAAGGCAATCATGGCCTTGTTGTCAACGTACAGTACTGGAGGAGAACGAGGCCGCTCACCCAAGTCGGTCAGCAGGTAGGTCAGCCAGCGGAGCTCCTGTGCAGCCATAGCCCCTGCGTAGATCTCGGCCTCACAGCTGAAACTAAGTACAGAAGAAGAGCGAGTGGACCTCCACGAGATAGAACCAGTGCTAAGGCTGTAACTATACCCCTGTGTCAACCGGTGTTGCATCTGGTCGTCAGCCCAAGAAGCGTCTGAGTGACCGGTGAGAACAACTGAACCCCATCCTCCAAGCACGAGCCCCATGCCCAATGTACTGCACAAGTAACGAAATACCGTCTTCGCAGCATCCCAGTGCACCTTTTGGTGTCCCTCGGGAGCCACGTAGCGAGTCAGGAGGCTCAGAGGGTATGCGAGGTAAGTTTGTGTGCACGTCATGAGGTACATGAGGCAACCCACAAGCTCTGGGTACGTACCACTCGGCTCTACGGACTCTTCCTAAGGTGGAGCTAAGAGCGAGTGGCCTGTAGTCAGTGGAGTGGGCTGTGGCAAGGACCACAAGAATTCGAAGTGCTGAAGGACCTGCTACACCATGTGTGACTGAGTGAGGGTGATGGTGCGCCGTGCTCTGTCCTGTTATAGTCTAGAGTCCACTTAGGGGTCGCGGGTGCCCATGAAACCACCTAAGCATAATCTGATGACTTCGAACCGCCTCTGCTCAAAACGCCGTCACGATCAGCTCCGATATTATACGAGACTGAAACTTGGACAAAATTTAGCTTCAGGTGTCTGCTTTCCAGCGGTATATTTTTTGCTTTCATCAGAGGTGTATGCGCTACGCAGTGAATGAAAACGTAAGCTCGGCTGAAAACGTGTAGTTTCATTGATGCAAGGAAGAGGTGAGTACAGCATTGCCTAGAGGACTCTTAAGAGGTTGGTGTTAGAGACTAAGGATGGAGTCTATGAAGATTAAGGGCCGAAATATCTCAAAATCGTCAACTATAATTATGGACAGAAAAGTCGTCGTCACAAGAAACCCCGTCGACAAACGGTCCACTGATAGAACGCTCTCAAAGTCGAGTATAATGTAGCCCTGGACCGCAGCTACAATTCTCAATTTGAATCGTATCAAAACATGGATTATAACTCGAGTTATGGATTTCGGCGCACTAGGGGGTATGCTGCCATAGAAACTTAACTCAATCACAATTATCTCACAAGTTCACAAGAAAGTTAGAGTAGCAAGAACCAGGTAGAAGGGGATGAGGAGGACGAGAGGGAAGGTCCCTAGGGAGTTCCTAACCAAGGAAACCCCATACCACACAATTCCCCCCTCTATAGGCACCCCAACTTTGACATTTGTCACTTTCCCAACCCATGCCATCCACCTCACCCAACTTGGCCACACTTGCCAACCTGGTTTGGCTTCTCCCAACCACTTGGCATCATCTACAGTGATGGTGACGAAATTCCCAACCCCCAAAAGTCTGTACCCCATATGGAGTCAACCCGCAAATTCCCTTAGTCGCTGCATCACAATCAAAAACTTCGAACGATCATATCTTTCTTGTTCTTGCTTCGATCGCGATGATTCTTGGTTCATCGGAAACCTCTTGAGCAGAGAAGTCACTTCAGATATCTGACCAAGCCAAATAACATTCACACACACACTCAAAAAATCCAAGCCACACCAAACACATATTCTTGCACACACCACGGATGCAACGCACGAACATATGATGGGAGGCAGACAGACGTGAATGCAAATGATATCATCACATAACAAGAGAAGGGGAGGCCGCCCAAGAGGAAGAGCTGTGGGAAACATCCAACGAGGAGAATGCGGAGGGGGACGGCGCGAACCCAGAGCTGGAGGTCGATGACGCCGACGGAGGGCATGACAACGAGGAGCCCGGGGCTGGGATCGAGGACGCCGAGCCCGCACAGACGGACACGGCCAAGGGCGCAAGCCAGGAGGTGGCGGAAGGATCGCGGTCAGGTCGGCGGGAGTTGCGCGGGAGCAACGCCGACCGACATGAAGTGCGCGACGCAGAGAGGTCGCGTCAGCAAGAGCGGCAGGAACCGGACATAGGCGCCGACGCTGTGGGGATGCAAGGAGAGCGCGGAAGGGGCAAGGTGGAGCGCTTGCGCGTGATAGAGGAGGAAGCGTGGCATTGGGAGCGAGCGCCTGGCATCCCTCGCTCTCTCGACAAGCGGCAGACACGGGAGGGCTGGGTCGGAGACAGCATGCGTTCGCCGGAGTGGCAGCTGATGCGCAAGGGAGGATGGGAGGGTGAGCCAAGCGTACCCAACGGATACTGGCGCCAGGAAGAGAGGCGCAAGGAGGGGCCCAGTTCACCAGGGAGGCATGGCCAGTGGCAAGGGGAACGCAGCGGGGAGGCGCTGTCGTCAGGCCCACTAGAGCAGTGGGAGAGGAGGATGGGTGGCGGATTCCGCTCGCCGCACGCCAGGCAGCAGCAGAGTGGAGAAGGCGGCAGGGACCGGCGCTCACCTGAGGGCCATCGGCATCAGAGGAGGGGAGAAGCATGGTCACCGTCGCCTGAAAGGCAGAGACAGCGAGAGACAAGCATAGCTGGGTGGAGAGATGCACGGGTCTTGCTGGCACGGCTGAAGGGGCGGGCAGAGGCGTGGAGGGGTCTGAGAGGAAGGCGCGGCGACTCGAGCTGGAATCAGCAGGAGAGCAGGACGGGAAGGGGGAGCCTGGCATATGGTGCTGAGCGGGCTCAAGAGGCCAGGGAAGGGCTAGAGAGGGCTAGGGAAAGAGGGACAGATGGAGGGCGACCGAGAGGGGTAAGGGAATCTTGGGGAGATGGGCGAGGAAGCGCAGCGAACGTGCCGCAAGTGGAAGTACCAGCCAGATTCTCAGGAGATCAACGTCCGGGGCCGACCCTCAAGAATTACCTAATGCAGGTGGGGAACGTGAAGTACCGCTGCGATAGGCAAGGCATGGACCCGATAGATTTCTTCTTGAGCCTACCGAACACATTGGAAGGAGAGGCGGAGACGTTGTACCGCATGAGGATGGACGAGCTACTGTGGAGGGCGGGGAGGTACGGAGAGGAGCCCACTGAGGCATTTCTGGAGCGGCTGCAGCGGCAATTCCCGGGACATATGGCAGAGCGCATAAGGGAGTTTCAGGAGTTCAGGAGGGGGCGGACAGAGTCACTGCTGACCTATCACAACCGACTGATCAACCTGGCCAAGGATGTGAGGTGCTCGGATGGTAGCCTTCTCATCAGCAAGTTCCTGGGAGGTTTGGACGAGGCCTTAGGAGGAGGGCTGAGGATGAGGGTGTACAAGTTGGGTGCTGAGGCAAGCCTAGAGGAGGTGTTTGACTTAATAGAGAGGGTGGAGCTCGCACAGAGGAAGTACGAGGCTTATCTGCCCAAGCCAGTAGAGAGAAGCCGGAGGCCTACATGGACGGCGACAATGATACCGGAAGGGGGAGGGAGAACAGACGGACGAGGGGAGACAGGGATTGACACCAGGACATGTCACAGGTGTGGGCAGCCAGGGCACCTACGCAGGGACTGCAAGAATTGTGACGGTTGTGGGAAGCCAGGGCACAGGAAGAGGGAATGCCCTGATGCAGCCAAGTGTGAAAAATCTGCAAGAAACAGGGACACAAGGCGAGGGATTTTTACCAGAGGGCAGGGATGTATGTCAGAGACGAGGATGGGGAGGAGGTGGAGCAGGACGTGTAGTGTGCCCTCATGGCATGGAGAGGAAGAGAAGAGATGGTGCTGAGGAGCGGAGGGAAGGATGGCAGGCGGGAGCAGGGAAGGACGGAACAAGCGAAGGGAGAGAAGCCAGCCAAGCCAGCCCTCGAGCAAGCCCCAGCATGCCATCCACAAGAAAGGCTGGCGTGCCATAGGAGGGAGAGAAGGTGAAGACTGCAATCATAGACACAGGAGCTCAGAGCGTGATGTTGGGCAAGGGGATGGCGGAGAGACTGGGGTTGCTGGCGCGTGAGAGGCATGTGGCCAAGGGGATGCTGGTGATGATGGCGGAAGGGGGGGAGCCGAAGTGGATGCCATGCACCCGAACGCCCATAGAAGTGACTCTGCTGCCAAGGGGGGAACATGAGACCAAAATCCGAGGACTTCGACGTACTGGTAGGCACCGAGCTGGTATTCGCGATGGGGATGACTATATGTACTTGGACTGAGAAGGTCGAGTTCAGGACGCGACACTGGAAGAAGGAAGGGCCCTTGGGAGAGCTGCCAGTGCGATCTGTAAAGGTAGAGCCCAAGAGGGCATACCAGGCCGTGGGGGAGCTTCTGACTGGAGAGCAGCAAGCAGAGGAGTAGGGAGGAGCAGCAGGGTTGAAGGGGGGACCCAGAATGAGGTGGATGGATGAGCCAAAGCAACAGAGTGGTTGGCAGCAGCCCATCCACCTGGTGGAGTTGTTTGGAGGGATAGGGGCAGGCCTGTCCGCGGTGATAAGGAGTGGGATAGCCGTGAGGAAATGGACCTACGTGGAGAAGGAGCCAGTGGTGAGGAAGATGGTGGAATACCATGCATGGAAGCTGCAAGCGGATTTCCCTGACTTCCTGAGTAGGAGGGTGGTTCAAGAAGCCATGGGAGGAGCCGTCCATGATGTGCAATAGATAGGCGAGGCAGAGGTGGCGAGCTGGGGGCAGGTGGATCTGCTGGTGGCGGGGTGGGAATGCCAAGGGGTGTTGTGGGCAGGCAAAGGGAGGGGAGGGGAAGATCCCAGAACCAAGTTGATGGGAGACTTGTTCCGCATCCTGGAATGGCTATAGGAAAGGCAGGGCAAGGTGGCGTACCTGCTGGAAAACCTGGACCTGGAAGGAGACAGCAGAGAGCCGATCCGATTAGTGAGAGAGAGAATCAAGGGGCAGCTGGGGGAAGGGGTGAGCTGTGATGCGGCCAGAACAGGGTCTTACGCACACCGGCTCAGAATGTACTGGCAGAATGTGGTCCCTGCCGTGAAGTTGCAAGCAGAGGTGAATGGGGTGAAGCGAGCAGCAGAGATAAAGGTACAGGACATCCTAGCACCAAGGCGGACTCCAGCGCTAGTGTGTCGCAAGAGCTACAACCGGCATTATCCGTGCAACCAAGTAGGGCAGGAGAGGCGAGCCCTGCCCACTCTGGTGTCGTATGCGGGAGCGGCTGGGTACAAGTGGGAAGCAAGGATGCCCGGGCCGGGAATGGTGTATGATCACAGGAGACAGAGATGGGAAGAGCCCACGGCACTAGAACGAGAGCTGGCCATGGGGTATGGGGAAGATGTGACAGCAGCACCAGGGGCGAGCGAGGCGGATAGAAGGAGGGCTCTGGGGAATGCGATGGATGGCCACGTGCTGAGATGGCTGATCCAGCGGATGTGGCGAGAGACGGTCGTGAGCTGGGGGTATGAGGACGAAAAGGGAGAAATGGAGGCAGTGCCTCGGGGGGCATGGACCTGCCAGAAGAGGGAGGAGGAGAGATGGGAGGTGGGGGAAGCGATGAGCAAGGAGGGGAAGGAGGCCATGCAGGAGCTGCTGGCCAGGCACAGGAAGTGCTTCTCCTTCACCATGCAGGAACTGGGGAGGTGCAAGGTGAAGGAGATGGAGCTGAAGCTGAGAAGCACAGAACCAATGTTTCACCGCAGGAGGAAAGGCCGCACGGGGACGAGGAAATCTGTAAGGAGAAGATCAAAGAGCTGCTGGAAGCAGGATTGATTAGGAGGTCAGAATCGAAATATGCCACACCAATGGTGGTGGCAGCCCGGCGGGACCTGACAGGGGAGGTGCTGAGCAAGAGGATGTGCGGGGACTACATGGCACTCAACAAGATCACCATAGCGGACAGGTACCCAATGCCAATGGCAGAAGAAATCTTTAACAAGCTAGCAGAAGGGGTGTTCTTCACGACTCTGGACCTGCGGCAAGGGTTCAACCAGATCAAGATCAGAGACGAGGACATCAAGAAGACGGCCTTTCATGGGCCAGACGGGCTGTATGAATGGTTATACATGCCATTTGGGTTGAGGAACGCCTCAGCCGTGTTCCAGAGGGTCATGGACAGTGTGCTGTGGGGAGTGGAGTGTGCGGCCTGCTACATTGACAATGTGGTGATATTCAGCACGACCGAGCAGCAGCACCTGCAGGATGTGGAGAGGACCTTGACAGTGATAGAAGCGGTAGGACTAACCTTCCACCCAAAGAAATGTAGATGGGGGGAACAGACAGTACAATATCTGGGGTATGAGGTGAAAGGGGGGCAGATAGGGATACAACAGGCCAAGGTGGAGGTCCTGGATAGGCTGAGGGAGCCTAAGGATAAGTCTGAACTGAGAGCAGTGCTGGGCTTCTTGAGCTACTATAGGCGGTTTGTGCCCAATTTCAGCAAGAGAGCAACGGTAATGAATGGGCTATTGTGGGAAGACAAGGCGTGGGAGTGGGGAGAAGCACAAAAGGGGGCACAGCAGGACTTAATGACAGCAGTGAAGACCGCAACGGTGCTCAAGCTGCCCACTGCCGATCAACCGTTCACGCTCTACACCGACTGGAGCAGTCAAGGGATGGGGGGGATACTCTGCCAGGAGGTGGAAGGAGAAGAGAAGGTGGTGGCATATGCGAGCACGAGCTGCAACTCGGCGGAAGCACAGTACAGCTCTTACATAGGGGAAGGGTTGGCAGCCATGTGGGCTGTGGGGCATTTCAGGGTGTACCTGCAGGGGAGGGAGTTCACCTTGGTGACGGATCACCAGCCCCTAACTTGGCTGATGACAACACCGGGGTTGACGGGCAGGAATGCACGGTGGGCAATGAAGCTGCAGGAGTATGACTTCAAAATCAAGCACAGGCCAGGGAAGACGTTGCAGCATGTGGACGGTCTCTCTCGGAACCCCCCACCGCCAGAACCCACTGTGACCTTGACACTGCTGGCCAGGCTGGTGGAGCTGAATGGGGCCAAGGGACAGAAGGGGCCAGTAGATATCTGGGAGGATGGACCAGCCATGCGGTGGGTGAAAGGAGAGATAGGAGAGGACGAGGAGCTGACAGCGCGAGTGAGGTGGTACCAGCAGCAGTTGCAGGTACAGGCAGAGGACAGATGGAAGCTGGTGCCGGCGCCAAGCGAGAGGGAAGCAGTGATCAAGGAGGTACACACAAAGCTAGGACACCTTGGGCATGAGAGAATGGTACAGCTGCTGAAAACAGGATGGTGGTGGGAAGGGATGCGGAAGCAAGTAAAGGGGTGGGTGGAAGGTTGTGAGGCATGCCAAAAGAGCAGCGCAAACCTCACCCAAGCCAAGGCTGAGGCCTAGGGTTCAGATGGTCCTTGGATCTGGCGGGGGACCTGCTGCTAAGCCGGGGGGGTAAGCAGTATATTGTGCTCATGGTGGAGCACGTGAGCAAGTGGCTGGAGGTGAGGGCGATCCCGAGCAAGAGCTCGAGGCATGTGGAAGCAGCGTTCAAAGAGCAAGTGATATGCATAGGTCCTCATGGACCAGGGAACCGAGTTCCAAGGAGAGTTCAAGAAGCTGTTGGAGGAGACAGGGATCACCCACAGGCACACTTCCCAGTACCACCCACAAAGTGATGGGCTGACAGAGCGCCTGGTGTAGACCCTGAAGCGGGGACTACGAGCATATGGGGAGAAGAGGAAGCGGGATTGGGATGAGGAGCTGCACTGGATTGAAGCAGGGTACAGGTTTGGGAAACAGGCGGCCCTGAGAGATCACTCTCCATATAGTCT